CAAAGACATCGACATGATTTATTTTGTGAGTTGCTTTTATAGGAGTCTTCTAATTTTGCCCAAAGAACAAAATATTTCCATGTATCTATAATCATTAATGTGTATATATATGTGTATACACATATATATATGTATATATGTGTGGAATTCATGTCAAACAAATTGTAAGAAGAACAACGAAGGGAAGTTCAGGAAAACACACGAATATGCCGAAGGCCTTTTCGCATTTACTGCTTCATCAGGGCATACATAGCAAGAGATACATAGAAGTATATATACATGTACTAGGCGGTCAGGTCACGTTGGTGATCAGGTAAGCGACGACCTTGGCTAGTTCGTGGCTCCCCGTTGCGGTGTTGAAGTTGTTTTGTTCTGTGTGGCGTCCCCTCTTGATCTGGACATGATCATGTCCAGATCAAGAGGGGACGCCACACAGAACAAAACACACAGGATCATCATTCCACACTCGCAGTTGACGTATCACCTGGAGGCCCTGTTGGGCCATACGATGAAGATAGCCACCACGTCCGGTAAGAAGATCGGAGGCATTGTAAGGGAAAAGAGATCAGACCACAACAGACCTCTCAGCCAGGTTTACAGCATTCCTTGCGGCGGCTGCGATAAAGTTTACATAGGTGAGACAGGACGAGGCCTACACGAACAACGAATTGACCAACATCGCAGCGCCCTCCGACGACACGACACGAGGAGTGCCTTCGTTGTTCACGCCGACACCGACAGCCATCTCCCGAAGTGGTCCCAGGCCTCCATCATTAAGCAAGGCCTGCCCCCACGGCAAAGGAAGATGGTAGAAGCGGCATACATACACTCAACTAACAACTTCAACACCGCTACGGGGAGCCACGAACTAGCCAAGGTCGTCGCTCACCTGATCATCGACGTGACCTGACCGCCTAGTACATGTATATATACTTCCATGTATCTCTTGCTATGTAAGCCCTGATGAAGCAGTAAATGCGAAAAGGCCTTCGGCATATTCGTGTGTTTTTCTGAACTTCCCTTCGTTGTTCTTCCTGCATATATATATATATATGTGTGTGTCTGTGTATAAATTACACTTATACAAATTTGACATGACCTGAAAGTTAGATTTTATTTTAGATCTCTTTTGATATATAAAGTGTAAGTTTCTCTGTGTATGCAAGTTTGATTCACATATTCCTCCCCTTTTCCACAGCTGAAGCAACGCAACCACGACGCGCGTGATCTCCTTGGTGGTGGTCGCTGCTGTTGCCGTCTGTGCTGCGGCAGCTTCACTGGTTATCAAATGTTTTCCTTGGAATTTTGCATTAAGAGTGAATATGTTCACCTCATGATATTGACGTCCTTTTCACCTTCCATCTTGAATGATACATGTAAGAGTGTTAATGTTCAACCATGAAATTCATAAAAAAAATCCTATATTTCAGGACCTCAAGGGGAGCTGCACCGTCAGTTCTCTAGGGTGAGATGATGACCTCGTATTCCCCCTGAATTACACTTAATGATTATAAAAACGATAATTCAATACCTTTTGGATATCGTAATGCTGAGAAATACAAACCTAGTATATATACGATGTACCAATTAACCTTGATTCATTTTTCAGGAACAATGTCCTATAAAAGGATAAGGCTCTTTCCGGCGACAACAAAAGAATAACATCTTTGGAAGAAGCAGCAAGAGAGTTATCCATAAGGAAGGGAGTAAAATGATTTGGGATTGAGAAGTGAGACACGAATCCGACCTTGACTCTGCGTTGCTGTTGAACCTGATTGACTTTTTTCCTTCATGAACAATGTATGTGATGACTGTTTCTGTCGAAATCCCTTGGGATCAAATAAAATTTCTTTGCATTAATATAATTTAATTTATATGGGAGTTCCCTAAATATAATGATATAATGCTTCTCACACTCATGTGAGATTACATATATATAACCCAAAACACCACCCACTATTACTTGTCTTCTTTTCCAAAAATGGATTCCAGATATATATTCTCTCTCTCTCTCTCTCTCTCTCTCTCTCTCTCTCTCTCTCTCTCTCTCTCTCTCTCTCTCTCTCTCTCTCTCTCTCTCTCTCTGACTAAAAGATTCACCTTATAGAGGCACATACAGACATGGTTGAATTAAAGAATCATAAGTAAAAAAGAATGAGATACTTTTCAGCGTCAGTCGCCTGACGGTTGATGATGCCTTTATGATTTTAGTTGCTAATTAAAAATGAGAATTTTCTCTGGTCTTCTAAGGAAGGGTTTAACAGCTGATCTAGTGCATCAGTATGAGGTTTAGTCTGATTCAATTCTGATGCCCAATGCTCTTGCCTGAAGTCTTTCTAAATTCAAAATTTCGCATAATTGAATGAAGGTCGTCTATATGCGGAATAAGTCATCTCGGGATGCACCGAAGGATTTTAACTCTGATAGTATGAAGCACTTTTTTCCGCACTTCGAGATCTTTTTTCTTTTTTCTTTGTGTATTGATGAAACTCTTTCGGTCATCAGTGATCACTACTAAAAAATTCACCTTAGAGGCGCGTATTAAAAAAAATATTACCAATTTTCAGAGTACTATCACAGTCGTTTAATATGTTGAATTTAATTTATATTTCTGTGCACTTCTTAGTGTTCACTAGCCTTCTGTATGACGATGCCAATTCTGACACTTGGTTAAGGGTGTCATGTAACAAGATGTTGCCTTGCCCTGCTTTGTGTGCGAGTTCAAGTGTCATGTCATCTACGCATTTGAAAATCTAAGCGTGTGGAATATTATCCTCATTTACCATTATCGGGAACAATAACAATAACGGAGGTCGATGAAGGAGACCCATTTCACCAGCCGTCGTGAAATGTTAGGGAAATCATTTCTTCGTTTAGGTGGTTTGATTGATGAGGTCAAATGGTTTTTCAGGTCGATAGCGGCGGAAGTTACCTCCGGTCCCTTGTGTACGTTTGATGTGATGGACAGTGCAACTTCCTTGGATGTTTTCGAAATGGTGATATCTAATTTGGAGGTAAATGCTTTCCACAATTCCTTAACAAGTATTCACTCAAGTATTTTGCTGGGAATTGGGTTAGCGATATTGGCCAATGGTGAGAAAATTAGGTGGATATGTTTTGGGAATTGGGACTGGTAAATAAATCGCCCTCTGTGACGGAGCTATTGCAGATGTCGGATAGAAGGGCGGCGAGGTCGGGAGCCAATTCTCGCAGTAGTTTTGGCATGATATCATCAGGGCCAGGAGATTTCTTTTTGTTATCCTTTTTCAATGCTGATACACTTTGTATTCGAGTGTGCGCGAGGGTTAGTAAACTGGCAACTCTGTTTGCTGTGGTAGGAATAGTTTGGTGAAGAAAAAAGTGACAGTTGATGTTAGCGCCGCTCTCTGGCGAGTCGGCAATTTCACTGATTTGAGAGAAGTAACTGTCATTCTTTTGTCAGCAATTATGTTCCTACTGTGGCCATATCCTGATCTGGGGTTTGCTTCACTAATTTAATCAATTATTTGTTTGTGATAATTTTTGTATCCTGATGGTGAATAGATGAGAGAGAGAGAGAGAGAGAGAGAGAGAGAGAGAGAGAGAGAGAGAGAGAGAGCGTGAGGAAAAAAAATAGAGAGAACGTCGGCCCTGTCATGATGTGTACTCCATGATTCGAAATTGTGAATTTTAGAATCATGGAATCTGCGCTTGAGTTCTGTTCCCTTTAATTGCATAAGTCCCTGATATTTCTTTCGTGCCCAGAGCAGCGATAGATAATCTCTATTGCCTAGATGAGGAAGGGATATTGGACTCTCAAATTATTTATTTGCTATGATTTTGTCCAGGGTATTTTCCCATGCATGGAGAAGGTGCTTAAAATTCAATGCAGAAGTGAGTTTACGATCAGAAAACATGTCAAGCTCGCCCAGTATTACAAAGAAAGGCTTCTCTAAGGATTAGTCCCTTAGAGTAAAGCGTAATTATGATGCTACAAACGGTCTACGAGGTCACTGTTGCTAATATTGGCATGTTACGAGAAAATTGCCATATCA